ATAGGCAGTTATAGAAGGATTTAGCTATTACAAGGAAGATAATATCGGTAAAGTATTCACTGAATTATAAGATACTGGCTTTCGCTCGCGACTCCGTCCGCGTGGAATTAAAAAACAAAAGTGAGTAGCCTATGTGTTCTTCCAGACTATCCTCTACATCTGTACCAAATTTCACCGAAATCCGAGCCGTTTAGGTTACATACTCTAACAAACATCCATCCATCCATCTAAACGTTCGCATTTATAATATTTGTTAGATTAGTAAGATTTAATTACGTTTCTGAATTGATTTTCAAACACTTAGAATAAAGTTAATTTGATATAATATAACCAATAGATCTATTAAATGTAGTTAAGTTTAATATGGCTACAAATCTTGCACCAACCCTGATTTAGAACCTTAACACTTAGACATAATGTTCAAAATCGTATAAATAATCTTAATGCAGCATTTTCCAGAACATTCCACTCATTTGTACAATTGCTAAGTATCACTCGTCCTAGTCTAGCGCTAGTTCAAACGTAAAGGGAACAAAACTACGCTAGAGACGAAAATGACTCAATAGGAGGAAGAGCTTTTTGACATGAATGACTTTTTTGCTAACAGGAGTTATGTGCTTTCCATTGTGACCGCGCGTAATCGAGTCGATTGATTTTGTAAGTGATGTTATTCGATTAGTCGACCGAGTGTCATTAATCGGTTTTATTGGTTTTATAAATATTTATTGTCTAATTTGGAGAACGAAGTCGCAATCAACGATATCATAGCTTGAACTGATAAATATATTGTCATCCCTTTTCCTCTTTTTGCAAAATCCGAGACAACAATAAGTTTAACAACTTCTATTTAGATAGTAAAGAAATTTTTGAAAAATTCAGAAAGTGTCGAGCCATAAATATACGTTAAAGGAAAACACTTCTTAGAGCAACAACCATAAGGTCGATTTTGCTAATCTTTGTATAATGTACGATATAAATTTTAATATCAAAGAGAAAGTTAAATGCCTTGTACTTATTTGTTATTTATTGGGGCTCCTTTGTCCGTCGCGTCTTGTCACTCAAGTTGAATCCCGTTTTAATAATAGAAACAATATTGAAATGAAATATTAGGTAAAAAAGGTTACTTAGTGTAAGTTTAGTAATAAAACGGGAATAAAAAGCTACTTAAATATCTACTAAACGACTATGAGTGTTGCGGTTAAACAGCGCTATTTGTGATACTTAGTAGGTAATTATTTCTGATATTTCTGGAATGTTCTAAAGACTAATTATTTATTCCTATGAGAGTCAAACTAATTAATTTATTGTTTATACTTTCAGTTGACTGTGACAGTAATTTACGCTTTTAACAACGAAACTGCAAAGTGTATAATAAAAGTTTTACAGACGAACAGTTTTTACAGACGATTACGAAGCTAAGGGCTTGTCCCACCAAATTATAAATTGTCTTATAACATTCGAACGTTTAAAATATGTGATGGAAAACCGGGTTTGTTCCCTTTTCTTACAGTGACGTCATTTTTAAGCTATCTGTGCTATCAGCCAATGGTGGGACAGGTCCTAAGTGTTTAAAACTCGTTACAATTATCATTTTAGTCGTTTACAACAATTAAATTCTTATTTAGCACGAACGTTCAAAAACATAGTTTGTATTATCAAACCGTGCACGTATTCCTTACAGAGTATTCTGAATTCAACAAAAATGTTACCAAGAACTAGTTCCAATGAAATATAGAAAACGATAGAATGTTCGCCTTCGAATAAATTCAAACGGCGTTCGTGCATCTTATATAACATCAGATCTACGAATACAGATTCAATACTATAGAGTTGTGTATTATTTTTATCATAGATTAGCTGTTGCTCGCGACTTCTCGTGATATTAAAAAAACAGTCTATGTTACAGATAAATTACCTTTCTAATGGTGAAAGAATTTTTAAAATCGGCATAGTAGTTTTATATGAATCGAATACATACAAAAGAAATACAAATCTTTCCTATTCATTGTTTTAACATAGATTTGTTTTCAGTGTGAAGGTTTTAAAGTTTAAAAAGTAAGTAGCATATGTATTCTTCCAGACTTTCCTTTACATCTAAGTCTGTCTGTTTAGGCTACAAACTCTAACAAACATCATCTATCTAAACTTTCGCATTAATCTATACTATTATAATAAAGCGTAAACACACACTTCTTTGTTGCCTAAGATGTCAGCAATCACACCATATTTTTGAATAATTCTTTTTTTAATAAAAAGCCTTACACTTACGTCACGCTTTAGGTTATATATTTTCATGCCATTAAACTTAGGGGTAAATATTTTGGATAAAAACCCTAATGTGGGAAAGAGAACATAAGTTGTTGCCAACATCAAGGAAGCAAGACAGTCAAGTTTTGTCATGTCATGTCAATTTGGCATTTGCTATTGATAATTTGACAAATGTAAACTATAAAATTAAATTTTCACAATTTCATGCAGATGTAGTCGCACGGGAACATCCTTTGTTCTCTGATATACGATAATCCGACATAAGATAATCCTTTGTTCTCTGATAATTTTTTTTACATAGATTTAACTCTAATATTTAATATACAGAAAAATTAAAAGTAGCAAAATTAAATAAAAAAAAAAAACAAATTTGTATACAAGTTATTTTCAGCATCCAGTTGACTTCCCAGGTTGTCCTTCGACATAGGCCCTACATATACGGGGAATTTATAATATTAGTAAGATTTATATGCAAATGGCATGAAAGAATAAAAAGATGATATCGCAACATTAAAAATACATCAAAGGAAATAGAATTGAGAGTTAAGAACGAGTTAAAATGAGATCCAATCGATTTTCTAATCCCAGAACGTTGTTTTATAAGTCGAATACGAAGTTCGTCGATCTATTCCTCCGCTGGGAAGATTGCTGAATGAAGATGTGATTCTGAATTTAAAATAGTCTTAGAAATGTTGGATTTTTCTCTATTCGGGTGTATGCACTTCGTGTTTACCCAGTGAATGGCACATCAGGTAGATGAGTACATTTGTGTTGGACGTGTCAAGTTAAATTTTACGTATAGATATCATCATCCACTTGCCCTTATCCCTTACAGAGGGTCGGCACAGTATGTGCTGCTCTTCCATACATCTCTATCAGCCGTCATATCTGAATCCACTCCTTTCTTAAGCATATTCTCTTTAACAAAAACCATCCATACTTTCTTCGGTCTTCCTCTTCTTTTGTAGCCATCCACATTCAATCTTAAAACTTTCTGGTTTTATAAATAGATGTATAGATATATCCTTTTTAAAGTATTATGTTGATAATTTGTTACATACTAGCTTTCGCCTGCGACTTCGCCCGCGTGAATTTAAAAAAAAAAGAATAAATGATATAGTTCATGTTACCACAGATAAATACCTTTCTAACGGTGAAAGAGTGTTTAAAATCAGCTTATAAGATTTTGAGTTATTTCAATACATACAAAAATACAAATCTTTCCTCTTTATAATATTTGTATAGACTAGCTTTATAGTAGCATATGTGTTCTTCCAGACTATGCTCTACATCTATGCCTAATTTCATCCATATCCATTCAGCCGTTTAGGCTACAAACTATAACACACATCCGTCTATCTAAACTTTCGCATTTATAATATTAGTAAGATGTTATCTAGTTTAGTATCTTTCTAAATTTAAATTAAGTGTCTCACTGTTTACGTAATGATTGAATATATCGACTAAAGACTAACATCAAAATAAATTAAACAATTGAAAAACCTCAAAATGCGAAAATACTAGGTGATTTTCATACAATTCGTCGAAATGGTCGACTCATTTACCCTTCAGTGCCAATAAAGGTTCCATTAACTTAATGGATTTGAACCCTCTAGCGGAATTTCGATAAAAGTTGAAACGGCAAAGGCAATTATTTGCGGCAGAGAACAAAACTTTCGACCAATCGGACATCTTTTCTTAACTTATAACTAAGAAACGACAAAATTGAAGTTATCAAAAATATAAAGTAAACTTAAACAAATTTGTGAAAATGATAATTATTGAATGCTAAGTTTACATTTTGCACGCGAATGTACAATACATCTATACTAATATAATAAAGCGTAACACACACTTTGTTGCTTAAAATTTCAGTAATTACAGCATATTTTCGAATAACTCTTTTTTTTATAAAAGAGATCACGCTTTAGGCTATATATATATTTTCACGCCGTTAAACTTTGAGGTAAATATTTTGGATAAAAACCCTTATGTGGGAAAGAGACCATAAGTTGTTGCCAACATCAAGGAAACAAAGTTGCCATGGTTTGACATCATGTCATGTCATTTTGACAATTGCAATTGATTATTTGACAAATGTGAACAATAAAACATGACATTTTTATAATTTTATGCGGATGAAGTCGCATGTGAACAGCTAGTAATCCAATAATCAAAAGGTAATATTAATACCAATAACACTTTTACACGTGAATATACAAAAAAATATTTTCCAACACAAAAAGCGTACAACTGCCATTGACAGAGTACGGTAAAGTTTTGGGCCACACAAAAAATCTACACACAAAATTCACACTGAATTCATTTCAAACTAAAGGCTTAGAGAGGATATTGCTCTGAAATATACCGCTATTTAATACGTCGACAATTTTATTCGTGTTTCGTGTCGTGTGAATTTTAGTGTTAATTTAAAAAAAGAACGTATACGATTTTCTTTTTTAACGGTATTTTGTTGAAAACATTGCTTTCGATATTTAAAAATTGTGATAAACAAAATATTTTACATCCTACGAAGAGATTGATAGCATAAAAGGTGAATTGGTTAAGAAGGGGAGCGACTAAGTGAGGTTACGTGATAACAAACATTATAATCGGGTTAATAATATTAGATAGAGAGAATATACATTATTACAAAATATTGGCAACAAACAAGAAGACACAGTAGCACATCGTGACTATAAAACTATTTGCATGTAAATTCTTTATAGTACCTTTGCATTTGTTACTAAGCGGACAGGAGCATCGCGCGCCGTCACAGGAATCGCACTCGCAGCTCTCCACCGCGGCGGTCCACGGCGGCGCCACTGTCGCACCGGGTACCTATCAAGCATAAAGCATCCCTTTAACGTCTGTCCTCTACATTGTAAGTTACCACTGCCTAAACATAAAGAAAACTTACAAAAAGAAAATCATTGTGTTAACACAATACATAAATAGAAATAGAGAAGTAATCTAGTGAACTTTTACTAGCTGAGATTTGACTGAGTACATGTCGAGCAAAAGCTCAGTCAATTTTTTTATTCACCCACATCATTAATATTACTAACTATTCCCGTGCGACTTCATTCGCATGAAATTATGAAAATTGTTTTATTGATTACATTTGTCAAATTCAATTGCAAATGTCAAAATGACATGACATGAAGAAAAAGTATGGCAATTTTGCTTCCTTGATGTTGGCAGCAACTTATAGTCTCTTTCCCACATAAGGGTTTTTACCCAAAATATTTACCCCTTACGTTCAATGGCGTGAAAAAAAATAGCCTAAAGCGTGACGTAAGTGTAGGGCTTTTTATTAAAAAATGAATTATTCAAAAATATGTTGTCATTGCTGACATCTTAGGCAACAAAGAAGTGTGTGTTTACGCTTTATTATAATAGTATAGATTAACTCGTAAGACTAAGCAAAGCTTAAATATGTTATGCTCAATAAAATTTTGCCTAAAAGTTTCACACTTTGCTTGACCTCTTCTCTAATAAAAATATATTCTACTATGAGAGCGAGCGCACACCTTTGATTAAACAATCGTGCATAGTGCGATTGTCAATTGTTTCGCTGCCAATTAAACTGTTTAGTTGTACAACTAAAAATCAAGTAGTGTGCGCACCAAATATAAGCTGGTAGGAATCAAAACGTGAGTACACAGTCAAAGGTGTGCACACGCTATAACAAACTTACCTTTTGCTCCAAACTTGGACCGAGGGTTGTAACTTTCACGCTCACATCGAGATTGGCTTCTTTTAATTTGTCCTCAGAAATAATATTTATATCAGTTTTGCTAACTCCGTCTTCGATCAAACTCTTAAGTCCGTCGATTTGTTTCGATCTTTCGCCCGTGTACGTATAATTTGTTTCTTTTGTATTGTTTTGTATCGTTGGTAATGTTATTCTTTCATCCAAATGTTTTTCGCTTACAATAGTTTTACTAATTCTATTGGACGGGGCTATTTCTAGTTCTGCTGAAAATGATACGTCTTTCTGATATAGGACATCTTCTTTTGTGCCAGAAGATTCGGTTGATTTTGTTGCGTTTAACTCTGTAACAAAATAAATGTTAATTGTTTTTTTTATTACAGTTATGAAGTACAATTGCAGATGCATTTCTTGAATCAACAGAGGAGGGGACTCACAGAAAGAGGATATTTCCCTTTCCTATGCTCACATCAAACTCTTCTTTATATATACTAATAGTACAAAAAGGAAAGATTTGTATGTTTAGATTTTTGTATGTATTCGATATACGTAAAAACTACTGGGCCGATTTCAAAAATTCTTTCACCATTAGGAAGGTTATTTATCTATGAGTAACATAGGCTATATTTTTTATTACGTTTTTTAATTTCACGGCGGCGAAGTCGCAAGCAACAGCTAGTATGATATAAATCTTATTAAAACTGTAGTCAAAACATTTCCACGTACGTATACTATTTAAATCCTTCACAATTGTTATTTCCCTTATTTGAAAGGAAAAAGATTTCTCGCTACAATTCCTGAATTGCTTTTATATTCTTATCTTTGGCCGAGTTCATAAAATCTCAACCAGCGAGTGCGGAAATAAATTTTGCACTGGCTTTAGAAATGATTCTATTCCGATACTCGCCGTCCAATTGATAACTCTTTGTGATAAATTTGATTTATATTTGAACCTTGCTATAGTTTAACCTTTATTGATTTTTTATAATAATGACCTACAATAACACGGTCCTGATGTACGGTTGTACATACTCTAATCATACTAATATTATAAATGCAAAAGTTTAGATTGATGGATGGATGTTTGTTAGAGTTTGTAGCCCTAACAGCTAAATGGATTTCGATGAAATTTGATACACATGTTGAGGATAGTCTGGAAGAACACATAGGCTACCGACTTTTGTTTTTTTTTAATTCCACGCGGACAAGGTCGCGGGCAAAAGCTAGTCTAATTATGAAATATGTAAATATATTTTATAATTAGACTAGCTTACTCACTAGCTAGCTTAATTTACTTTTCTCTTAAGAGAGGGGAGTGAATTCAAATTTGACGGCTATTCATCAAACCAAAGAGAACGACTTGAAAGTAGATATTAATTCACCAAAACTGTATAAACTATTCTAGTACTAGTACATTTTAAAATAACACAGTACATATACTGAAGTACAATCCATTATTTTTTTTATTCTGACCAAGCGTCGAGAGAAACAAACACTATAATATCCAGTTTATTTCCGTAAAAGCATGTTCTTGGAATCGATATGTAGCGTGAACTATTGAACGTTTTGGTAAAAGAAGGAAATCCGCAGAGTGTATAGAAAATTATAAATTAAGATTTTAAAAAAGCAATGTAAAATACACACAAAATTAAAAACAATAATGCAATCAGCATTAAAGTAATTACTGGCAAACTAGAAAAAATTGAATTGAAAAAAAATCTACAAGATAATTAAAATAGTTAGAAACTGTATCTGATCAACTCTACAACACTGAAGTTATAGGACAGGTTTAAAAAATATAAAAATCGATCATCATTCGAATCCACAAACACTTAATCTCCGACACCATCTGGTCCAATTAATCATAATTCCGAGCTCACGCGAGTCCGACGTTTTTCCAATTTACCGAGGATCCAAACTGATTGATAACCCATTCCGACTATCCAATTAATGGGTTAACATCAACACTGCAAATTATTTTCCACGCTAAACCTTCAAGTATTCTGATTGAATCGAAGTGATTCTAACGATTATTGCTTTCCATTAAATATAATAGGTTCAGAAAAATGTTATTCAATTCCTTTTAATATATTTTCGTTTCAATTTCCTCGACAATTAGATCTACGGAAATGGAAAAGGGAAAAGTTATAAGTGGAAAGAAAATTCAAAGAGGCAATTATTACAGATAGCAATTTGGTCCAAAACGGAGAAGAATAGAATTAGTCTCTTACTGAGGCCTACAATACTGAGACTTAGAATAGTCTTTAGACCAAGGCCTAGGTCTACTGACAAGCATTTCTTCTGGGATCATTTCCAGTTAAGATAGTCACTGATGTTATGGTGAGTCGTCGCAAAACCCTGTCTTCTCGCCAGAAACCTTGGACATGACATATCAAAAGAAACGTGTCGTAGTAGTCATGGTACATTATTATGTTTAAATAGGTATCTTTTCCGTTATATATTCTACTTACCAAGACACCCGTATCCATCAACGTGCAGTACATAACCAGGGCCGCAGCCACACTCGTAGGTGCCATCGTGTAGCTCCCGGCACAACTGCTCGCACGGGCTGCCCTCGCCACACCGCCCTGCAACAATATAATTAATCACGATTACTACAATTTGATCTAGTATTATAATGGCCGGTTTCCCAGCTACATTTAACTATTCCTTACTGTTTTTAATTCGATTCCTTTATGAAATGCGTTCCTGAATTACGTAACTTGAGTTTTACTCTTTGAAAACAGGTTAACCTAACACTAATGCATAACTAGATAGTGATAAAATTAATGTAAACTTCAAAAACTCAGCATGAGACAATTAGGGCACGAGTAGGT